TCGGACAGTCCGGTGCTGAAACAAAAAGCACAATAGGCATCGAGGAAAGAAGAACGACTGTTGACGGTACCAGGCGCGGCAATACGTCAAGCCCTTTCGAACAATCAACCAGGCATATTGGCTCATTGAGATGGTTTGCTTCCAGGACAGAAGAGGGGTGATGAGTTTCTCCTCAGAGCTCGAGCATAGGATCGTTATAAAGCGAAAAACAAACGGTCAACATGTGCTACCGTGGGAGTCAAACAGTTGAAAATTCGACAGGCGAACGCAGGTTCGAAAGTTGTCGGAGACTCAAACTGTTTGGGTTGCCAGTGTTCCCTTAATTTTATTGGTAATCATTACAGATGACGACAGCAGTATAACCTGTCATCTTTCGCGTAGATCGGTTAACGTTACTCCATGTTTGAAAGCATACCTTGTCAGGTGAAAACCTACAGAACCTCAGACAGGACACAGTGACGGCTGAGTTGACCATGGGCGACTAAAATGGTCATCGGAAAATAAAGCGTAAGACGTATACAATCTGTTAAGCTAATATTTACAGGGGAAAAAGGCGCAAAACGACGTAAAGGGAGGTCTGGACGGCATGAGGAAGTCAAAACCCCCAGGGAATTAAACTTACGTGATACGGAAAGTGTGTTGTCGTGGACATCTATGCAATCGGTGGACCTTGAAAGCGCGCCAACAGACTTGGTTGGAGTACGATATTCACCCGTTTTAAGCGGGGCGGGAGATGACAGGGAAGCGGGCAAACCGGTGTTGGTTGATACGGGAGGTGGCGTTGTTTGTGGTGGAGGAGGAAATTCAAAGGTCGGTGCCTGTTGCAGTTCCGGTACGCCCACTGATTCTAACGCCATCTGGGAGGAGAAATAGATAACGCAGGCGGAGGTCACAGAGATTTCTTTAATTACAACGGGTAGTAGAACAGTCATGTTGAGACGTAAAGTTACAGGTGGTTCAGGAAGAGGTCGCGGAGAATCGCATAAAGTCGAGGCAGCATTACTTCCCTCCTTATCGTCAGGTGGAGGAAGGGGAAATTCAACCGCTGACATGTTCATCTTCTTCCCATGGCCAGAAACGGTGGAAACCTTCGATGAAAACGGCAAGGTAAATATAAGCCTACGAATACTTTGGGAAACAGGTGAAGGAAGTTGTCGGGATGTCGGACCGAATATCCGCGACAGAATAGCGAGGAAGGTGGTTAAAATGATGTGGCTACTGACATTTCGACTATTAGTCTGGATAGATGACAATCGTGAAGACAGCAAGGCAGGAGGGGCCCAAATGTAATCTTAAATGCGTACTATCCATTGCGTATAACGGTGGCGTACCCTAAAATACTTTCATGCGTGAAGTTCACATATGAATGGCAGTTCTGCTCCTATTTGCAACGACCGTCTGACTCGTGTACAGCTCTATAAGACTGTTAGCATTGCGATTTCACGCGCACAATGTGAAGTTTAGGCCCCTATAAGGTCTAGCAAATTGAACCATTAAAAAACCAAGTGAGAATATGAGGCAGACATGAATGATAGCTGGACGATTATGACGGTCCACAATAGCGAGATGAGAAAAAAAACCATATTTGGTAGCATTCAGCACTCAGGAGTCTTAAACCAACGTGTTCGAGATAACTTACAGTCCTACTTTAGCAGAGCGTTTTTGTACTATTAGAAAAGAATGCGGATCGTCGTTTTAAAGTTTTGTTGTCTTCCCGCTTGTCGCTGCGTGTATTTATTAAGTACACAAAGAAGGTAACGGTCCAAGCGTTATCGACGGAAAACGACTGTGCGAGGTTTAATGAATGTAATCATCTTAACCAGACTACACAACGCATCTCACTGATTATGCCCGGAGGATCGCAGACCTTTGTAACTGTAGGCTGAAAAGCCCTACTCAGTCGCCCTTTAACGAAACGACTTCTGACCGTCAAAAAGAGAAGTAAACTAAGGCTCAACCGTTGAGAAGTCTTTGCCCGCTTTATCGCATTCAACGCCAACGAAGGCGACAATTCTTACAAACTTGTACCACACTGCACTTGTATTAAAAGCTCTTCTAGAGTCGTACCAACTGGCTTGCCTTCGGTTCTTTCGTCGAAGAAAAAGCGTGTTCGAGAAAACTACGGTGCTGTTTTTAAGGACTAATGGCACAAAAACAAGAATGTTCTTCTGTAATCAACTGTGTCCCTTGCCATTCAATGTAAGTGTCCACAACTAGTCGGAAGAGTGCGCACTTCTTTTGACAGAAACGGCACTCAACATTTTTTATATATTTTGAAGTATGCGTCTGTTCTAGCGACCCGCATTACATTCAAAGACGACAAAAACGTCACGAGACCTTTTCTTTGGACGCAAAAATTCATTCTCGTAAAAAAATGACCCTCCACCGCCAGACGATTATTACTCTGGTAATAAAATTGCTAGGAAGATGACAATTAGAAGTCTGTGACTTTAATATAGAAAAACTGTAAGAGAAGCAAGTGACAGAAATGTATATGATTCGAGAAGATGACTATTCTTATGGCCAACACACAGTGCTGTAACATGACAGCCAAGGAAACCTTGTTATAAAAACGAAGTAACAATGGAATGAAAATGTCTATGTGTCCATCAAAGAAGGACAAATAATGGCGCTTTCAAGCATGGGCAGTTTACCTGTTTCTCCTTTAAAGGAGGTCTTGGTACGCAAACGGGAGCAGATTCATCGGCCATTAAATGCTCCCAGTGCTGTCGAAGTTTTGACACGGGAATACGATCTAGGGGAGCGAGACTGGGCTTTAAAATAATCACGAATCAGTACACAAAAGGAAACATTTACCCTCATGCCTTCTTGCTTTGCAAGATCAATTTTCTGTTTTTTAGTAGGAGTTGTCGACATATTGCCGATATGACGGATGTCGTCCTCCCAAGACTTTATCTAAACAATGTATTGTTCAGGCAAAAGTAAACAAAAAGTTACCTCTTTGGCAAGTTCCTTGTATTTCGCCTTTGATATGTAGTTTAGACGGCGTGACTCGCTTGTTTCACTTTGTGTGATTCGCAAAAAGTAAATTAGTATTACAAAGGACAGGCAAAGCAGGGTCAGAGTTGATGAACACGCTCCTTTTTCTTCTGTTTTGAGTAAACAGTGAATAGTGAGCTTTAGAAACTTAAAAGAACTCTAAAGTAAAGTGTCACGAAATATATTTGCGCGAAATGCAGGAAGATGTCATCCGGTAGTTAAACGTTGAATTACAAATCACTTATTCATAACGTCACGAAATCCGCAGCTGGATAAGTCAGCATTGATGCCATCTGATTTGGGTTACCTTGTTATGCTGATATGCCAGCAAGATCATGGACATAACCAAGGACTCTCAAAGTACCTCGATTAAACTACTTATAACAGTTTCGACGCAGGGTGACCAGCCTTTTCACTCATGCTTAGTAAGGAGGGCAAATCAGCTAGATTGGAAACCCATGGAGGCAATGCATCTTATGATAATACAAGATATGCAGACGTAAAGATCCTCGAGGTAGCGAAGTCGATACTCCTGCACACAAACTCGTTAAGGAACAAAGAAAACCGAATTAATATAAAATAACGCGCACTAAAGAGGATAATGCTATTATATGACGCCCGCGTAATATTTTATGTTTTAAAAGTTAAGATGCAACTTTTATAAACGTAACGACGACAAAAACAAACTATTTGATTCACGAGAATGTTATCTATTTGTTACACCAAATTCTATAAAATCCCATTTGCGACGGTAGGCAGATGCCACCAGCGCTTAACAAAATGAGGAATCCGAACTTCGAATAAAAATTATGAGGCAAATGCGAGAGAATTTAATTTACTCTGTTTCGTCAGTCCCTTTTTCCATGCGGGAATACAAGTCCCATACAGCCCGCGAGAAGCCGTTTGAAAAAACAAACACCGCGCAAATTCTTAGAAGTTGTTTGAATATCTTTATTGACCAAATTCAAGGTCAAATGTAAATGTGGAAAAAATGACCTCTGAGGTCGCAAACCAGGAGCTTGTTGTCGTAAAGTGTGATAAATCTACTAGCGCAAGCTTTTCCTCGTGAAATGAATATGAAGATATTTAACCTAAAGTAAGCTCCATGGCTTACATTCGTAGCCGATTACGCCGTCTAACCCACTAAAATGACCAATACAACAGCATATTTCTCATTGGTGAGGTGTGTGTATATTCTTGGTGACATTTAAATTTCGGAAGCTGTTCACAAACAGGCGGAAAGAGCCTATATCCACTCCCAATCAAATTCGGGTATTCGGATACATTGTCCTACGGTCTAACCGTTTAATGTCACTAATTCGTAATGCATCTGCATTTTTTTACTTTCTTACTATTGATAGAATTTGAACTCACAGTGTGCAGAAACATGTTGTGACATATTTATGCGGTACGCTGCATTGGTCTGTCTCTTCTGACCTCACAGCTCTCCACAAAATTCGAGGAACTTGAAAACATCGACAACGAATGCCTTTTTGATGGTACCTAGCGCTTCTGTTAACAAGTCATAGTTGGTGTCTCTTGTTGTCTCGTCATTTAAGAATGTATATCAGTCGAAACGAAACCTGACCACAGTCAATGTTGGAGGATCTCAATGCAATAATAAAGCATTTACATCAACACACACCCACCTACTAAACCACAGGAGGTCAAAGCATGTGCCTGGTTCAAAAATAGATCTACTTGTCTTAAAAAAAACTTTCATATATAACTACACATTGACGGACAGACAGTAGAAAATGATGATTTCCTGAATGCGTCCACAAACTATTCGACTAAATTTAGATGAAATTGTGTTATCGTCTGGAAATCGTGGTATTTTTGTCATCACATTTAGTGGATTTTGAGGGAAAATTTTGCATATGAATCCGACAGGTGAGTGGCTTTCGGTTATCTTTGTTAATCGGGAGGGATTAGTCAAGGTCAACCTCTTATTGATAGCGTTTTCGTCATTTTCTGGTCACCGAGGATTATGGAAGTTCGTTTTTGTGGAACGAAAATCCTAAAACTGATTGTACTCGATGAGTCTGACAAGGCTGAATTGTTCAATGCTTTCTT